AACACTGTGGCCCACTGGGACAGTGCCAGAATGCCAGATAGGCCAGTCCACCCCTGAATGCCCTCTACTTGAACAGCACATGAGAGGATTCCAAAGCGCTTTACATTCACCCGCTCACACGCCGATGATGAGCTACATCGCAGCCACAGCTGCCCTGGGGAAGACTGACAGAGGACAGTCTTCCGTACGCAGGCGCCAACCAAATCTCCAACCACCACCATCGTAGTTGTGGACACGTTAATCAGTTGTTAGTGGCACCTATAAGCCGAAGCAGAAGGAAAGGCCCGTTGGGCCAGAAATATTTTTATTTGATTCCCAGCATGAAGGCAAACTTCCCCATAGCGTTTCTGGTGTAGACAACCAGAGCATTGTTGCAACACATCACCATCGTTTTAATGTCTTTTAAAGTTAATTTTTAACATTTTCTTCATCGTACTTTATTTTGACATAATAAAACGTAAACTGAATAAATGAAAGTACGTTTACCAAAAGCAGCCATAAAGTTATACAACACCTAATCACCCCACTGTAAAACATTACCCTGTCATCTAAAGAAAGAGACGGATCCCATTTGGTTTCTCTTGTTTGACAAGGCCAACACCGTTTCCAGTGGCTGCAGAACAAATGAAAATGAAAGCAAGGCAAACCCAAGACCCAGAATATAGATTACTGTCAAAACTTTTGTTTGGATGTTTTCTTCATACTGAAAGTAGGAAGACTGAAAGGGTTCCTCTTACTGTAATTGCTGTGGATGCATGTTAATGACTCAGGAATGACTGGGATTAGGAAAGACAGGCAGGAAGGGAAGCATCAGTACTCAACTAGACAGCCGATCCAGAGGGCCGGTGCTGTCCTGGACTGTCCGCTGAGGTCCATCACACTAATCCATAGTTTACAGGTAACCCTGGACACCTGTATGGTATACAACTACACTAGTACAGCATCAACCACACAGTGCCAAACAAGAGGATTCACGATTGTGTAAAACAACACAAAATGACATTATTCAGTCAGACACGTTTATATGATGCAGACTGACGTGATGCAATACGGAACCATCGGTCTCTCTGGTTGCACCGGGCCATTTGTTTTAAATATATGCAAAGGCTGTTCCAGTTAAGGCAGGAAAAGAACAAGGAAGTTCTGAAGAATTTCCCAGGAAGAGAAGAGGAAGAATTGTTTTTACAATGACTGGTAGACTAACTGAACAAGTGACCTCGCATCAGAATTTAAAAGAGTTACACAAAACATTTATGCAGATTCATGCATCTCGTATTTTTGCGAGTGGTGTTCTCTCGCGTGACAGGTCGGATGAGTATGACATCAGTCTTTACTCCAGGGGTGTGAAGTAGTTACACTAACTCAAACCGTACCTCTGAGACCTAAAAAGGTCCTTCACTCATATTTTAATGTATTTGCAGTGGTCTCTAGTACTTGTAAGTCATACTCTGGGGACAAAAAGCTCCGGTGCACCTGTGTCAGCATGGAAAATTCCAATACTATCCAGCCAGCAGCTAAAGGGGGCGTTTTTGTTTGTAAACAAGAACACCCCCTTCAAAAACAGAAACGCCTCTTTCTTCTTATTCGCTCCTGAGCTGTTACCTGCTCATTACTTCACCTCCGATATTTCAAAATAAGAAATTTTCTCCGCCCATCTACCCGTTTTCCGTCTTTGTTTTATAGTTATTGATCCTCTGTGCTCACCCTGCTCACCTCGTGTTGCTGGTTCGCGGTGAGCGCGCTCGCCGAACCCGAACCCGGTTAAGTCACGCCTCCTGCTTTATCCACAGTTTATACAAATATTGAACTCGAAACGGGAGATCGTCAATAAGGCCAGACACAGACTTCAGACTGTGTCTAATGAGAAGCGCACCCAAAGCACCGCAGCTGGACAGGAAGAAGCCAGGGGCTTTTCAAAATAAAGTGAAATTTTAACATTTTATGATATTTTAATTCATTTGAAACTACAATTGTGGTTAGTATAAGTGCACAAATATAGGTTATATACCTCATGCTTTGCATTGTTTACCATAATGTTACGATTTGTTAGGGTTGGACTTTTTTGTTGAAGGGGGTGTCCTTGGCTGGTTGTGTGGAGAGATCCGGCTAGGTTGTTTAGAAAGAGAAAACAAGAGAGTTTGAACGGGGATCGTTAACGTTGTTTTTCCTGGAGTTAAGGCGTGGGCTGCGGCCAACAGTAACCCGGAATAAAGATTCGACATGGAAGGAACATGTTGGGAGTCATTACAATATCTTAAAGAGCAAGTCACCCCCAAATCAACTTCTTTTTTCTGACAAACTATATAAATGCACGTCCAATCGTGCTGCAGACACGTGTAGTCAATAGATTTCACTTTAGTGCATTTTAGTTACATTTTTAATTTTCTGCCTAAAACTGTCAGTGTCGTGCCGTTGTCAGGTAAAATCTCTGCACTGCATTTGAATTTAAATCTGCCATCACTATTGGCTAAGATGTACCCTGGAACATTAACTGGTACCACATGATGTCACAATGTCATTGTGAGCCTGTGTGTGTGTGCATTTGTTAGCGGCTCCGCCCTCTCGGTCTGCTAGGCAACAGCATTTGTTGCATTTTTCAAACAGGATGTGGGAGTGGAGTAATACTCTGGTAGGGGGTGACTTGCTCTTTAACAACAACAAATGTATTCTTCAGGCGTGGCAGCTTTTATTTTCCGTTTACTTGCAATTTAAAAACCTGACCTCCGTGTTCAGATGTGCATGTAAACAAACCGATGGATTGTTAACAGTAACTTTGTCCCTCTCTTGTTTTTTATTAAGAGAAAATCTGACCGCCGGCTGAGAAAAAAAAACTTTTCAATGCAACCTTTCCAACATGATTGAGACAGTAGACCGTTTGGTGATGATGTCCCTAAGGAATTCTTACATTTTGCTCTTTAAAAGGTAATGTGATATACATTTTTCCTCACTCGTGCAGAAAGACACTGCTGATTCATCTGTGAGGGTTCCCTGATGTTAATCAGCTGTATTGCTACATTACACAAAGATAAACAAGAAATGTTGTATCAGCGTTGAAGCTTAAACCCAGCCGGTTTAATCTGCAAAGGCGGGCTCAGACACAACACGCTCTGTTGCCTCCGCTTCCATCTCTCCCGGTTTGACAGAAATGAAACTTAATGGACATGCATGCAAGTCTGTGTCAACACGTGAACCAAGTTATACGAAAAAATGCATCACATGCAGATGGCTTATTACAAATCTGCATTGCATACATCTTCAATATGAAGACAACGGACAAAAAACAAGCACAAATAAGAGCAGCGTTACAACAGGAATGTGTTTCTCATTAGCTCATATACAACAGAGCTGAATCACAGCTGGTTCTGTTCCTCCCTACAGCTGTTTCATGCATTTCTAGGTCACCATTACTGGGTTTAAATGTCTTTATTCTGCAAATAAATGATGAAAATTAAGTCTGGATAACCAGAAAATACGCAAGTTCAAAGCACATAATATTTTAATTCTAGCAAATGTTTTCATAAATTATTTCTGCTGCTTGCACAATAAATGTGAAAGATAAGAAGCCCACTGAAGGTTTTCAGGCTGGGGGAGGGGTAGACGAATGGGCTGTTTCTCCTCAGATGTTCTCAAAAAGAAAACTAATTTTACAGAGTTGCAAAATGTCTTTGCACAATCATTTGTGTGCACACCGGAGTGTGCACACATTGTTAAATTTAAAAAAAAGGAGTTGTGAGGCTTGTCCAAGATGAGTCCAACAAGCTGAAACTAAACTAATCCAGAGCCTCGGCGCTGAGGAATCAGGATGATGAGCTTGTTTCCTTAACTTTCAGTTCGTGAGAGAGGCTCTTCTGCAATTTAAGAGCGTTCGCATGGAGGTGGGGGCTGGTGGTCATATGCACTAGAAATTGAAACTCTAAATGCCTTCGGAGAGCCTTAGCGGACAAACAGACCTCTGTTTATGCAGCAAAACTGACCTAAATAGAAACAGTGCAGAAAAATGGGATATCCCAAAGTTTATTATGGGAGAACATAAATGAAGCCCACCTTGGAAACCTTTTTGTATCTTTATGTCAAGCCAAGATTCAAAATGTGCAACGTACCAGAGTCTGACTGTAAAACGAGTCTTTAATGAGATTTAATCACAACGCCCACCCATTCATGACACATAATAAATGCTATTTATCAAACCAGATAAAAGTTTTAAAGCATATACAAACTAGTCAGATTTCTATTAGACATGTCGTTCAAGACATGGAAAGAGGGAAAAAAACAGGCTTTGTGAATAATGCTAAGCTGCAAATCCGGCTTGGGCTCACCAGTTTTCCTTCTAGTTAGTTTTAAACGCTTCACGGCTCCACACAAAACAACACACCTCAATGGCCAAACTGAAAGCTGATAACCGAACCACATTACAGCAATTAACTCCTACTGAAGACAAAACAAATCCTAGGAGGGGTCGGGCGTGGCAACAGTGGCATGCCTCCTCTAAAAACTGATTTAGAGGCATGCATCATGCCTCATTCATGCAACACTTCTCCGCTGCAGAAGTTTGAATGTGAAAACCTTTCCGACATTCCGTGTGCGTCTCTCCTTTGCGGAGTTCACGGAGAAGTATAAGTCAGGCTTTAGGCTCCCTATTGAGTCTAAACATTTATGTAAAGTGGCCCAAAATTCCTCCTCAAAATTTGCATTAAAATAAAAAAATACTAGTTTTGCAAACTTTGTAACCTTTAATTGCAACATGCATCAATGCATGCATTAAATAACTAATGTTACAATTAATGAAACTGGGATGCATCCAACCACAAATAACAAAAGTGGAACATTACTCAAACCGATCACCTGTTTCGGTAAACGCAAACGGTGTCACGTGGTTTATTATCATAAGCTAGAACCGTGTCGGAGCTCAGTTTCACTTTCGTTTCTGTTTCAGAGAAACAGTCGGGCTGCCTCTAAAGGGGCGGGGCCAGCTGGGAGCAGCCCATAAAGTCGTGGAGCGTCTACCATGGCTCATTCACACACGCGCGAGCTGCCCGCGAGCCGGAGGCTGCAGTAGCTGCCTGATGAGAAGCCGGGTTTCCATCAGGACTCTTGCACCGATCAGCAGCCTGGAATACAGTTTGGGATAACCGACACACGGATCCATTAACAGCCGCTGTCAGAGAGAAACGGTGAGACCTTTTTACCCAACGGAGCTGTTATTGTGAAAGGTTCAAATGCGGGTTTAAACTGATTTTATGGGTGCAGTAGTAACAAGAATGGGGTTTTGTTCAGCTAAACGGTCTGAACATGGTTTTATTTGGGTGGATTTAATGGGGAAAGGGAAAGAAAAGCCAACACCCACATCTGTTACTCATTATCCTGGCTTCTTGGAAGTGAAGCAAACTCTTGCCTGTTAGTTTGTTCCAGTGTTGGGTTGAAGTCATCCTTGGCTGGAGGTTTCCCTGGGATTGTCATTATAAAGACACGTTTTGATTTAAATATCTAAAACTCTAGTTTGTAGCTTGATTATAACTAGATTGTGATATAGCCATGGTGTGTGTGTGTGTGTGTGTGTGTGTGTGTGTGTGTGTGTGTGTGTGTGTGTGTGTGCGCGTGCGGCTACAGGGAACAGTTGGATGTGGGTTCACCAGCCAAACCACAAATTCCAGTCATATAAAGAGCAGCTCTGTTCTGTGGAAACTAGATAATACCTCTAACCTTTCATCTGACACCATCACTGATCTGATGAATGGGAACACAGTCTTTGGTCTGTGTTCCCGGTTTCCTTTTGCCGACTTTGTTGTTGAGCTTGTTGTATAAGCGATGTTGGCTTCATGTTGTCTTCTCCGTTTCCTCTCAGGATGTCAGTGTGGTGGTCAGAGATGGGAGAGGGCTTGGGGCCGCTGTAGAATGGTAGCCAACAGCACAGTGGAAGGCCATGACAAGATCCCCTTGTCAAGCTCACCGCCGGCATCTTCGCTGACCTTGCCTTCGGCGACCCAGTCAGGGCAGCTCCAGCGTCGGTCCGGTTCCAGCCCAAACCCGAGATCTACCGTGACCCGCTCCACGTATACGACTCACTTCCCAACTTTCACCAGCAAGGAGGACTGCGACATCATCACTGATACGGCAGCCAAGCTCGAGCGTAGCGGATTCTACTGGGGGCCCCTGGGAGTGGAGGAGGCCCACCGCATGCTACAGAGCGCCCCGCTGGGCAGCTTCCTCATCCGGGACAGCCGACAGAAGGGCGTCTTCTTCACGCTGTCCTACAAAGGCAAATGTGGACCACTCAGCATTCGCATCGACTACAAGCAGCTAAAGTTCTCTCTGTCGGGAAACCAGCGCACCTTCCCGACCCTCTTTGCCCTCCTGGAGCATTACATCAATTCACCCAAAAAGAGCTTGAGCATCCCATACAGGAAATGGGAGCCAACGCTGCAGGAGCTGTGCAGGAGACGCATCATGGATTTGTGTGGCGAAAAGAGCCAGGTTTCAGAGCTGCCGGTCACACATGTAGTCCAAGAGTTCCTGTTGGAGTTCCCTTTCAAACTGTGACTGTGCTGCCACTGAAAGCCTTGATTGCTTTGTTTTTTGCATTAAGGTGGCAGTTATTACCAAGTAAAGGTGCACCGGAGGGGACATCAAAGCCTAAAGAGACTGTGTTGCCATGGTTACAGATAAAAGGAGCTAACCTTTTTCTTATAAATAGCTGTGAAATACAACCAGAGAGACATTATAACCAAAATCAAGCACTGTCAGCTTCCAGCTGGGCATTGCTTTCCCACAACATTTCAACGTTTTCTACCTCTAGAGACTCGGCTCCCAGTTGCACACAAACGGAGTGTCCTTTGGTGTCTAGAAAGTACGAAAGGTTGAAAGGGGACTCATTAAAAAGGAAGTGCAAGCCAGTTATTATAGGGACCGGATTGGTTATTGATGGGGAATGTTGCAGAAGGACATTGAAGAAATGGACAGATAAACCTTTGGAGTCATGGAGGAGGGTACGACTGAAACCAGAATGGTTCACTTGCGTAGCGGATTTTAACACTCTAATATCAAATGTTTACATCTCATCTGAATTTCTGACAGAACTTGAGGCACAAAAACCACTCTTGAGGAAATGTGGACTTTGTGAAGCAGATGAAGCATCAGCGAGGACGTCTGATGGTTCTGGATATGTGATATGCACTTGTACTGTACGCAGAGGTGGCTCACCTTTATTTAACTATCAATAACAGATTAAAATTATTATTATTATTATGCAAATACTTTTTTAAATATTTTTTTACATGCTTTTTAATTGTATTTTAAATAAAAATATTTAAATTTCACCCTGGTACCTTGTGTTTCTACCGAGTCACCCGGGGCATTTCTGTGCTGTTCTTTGTGGTGGGAGGCTTGTTGGGGTCAGGTGAGGAGGAGGAGGGACAAACACCTTCACAGTTCTTTACTGGGGCTGTGTCACAGATCACAGGACAGACAGACAGGAAGTGGAAGGTAGAATACAGTATCGTCGCCACACTGAGTCATCTCTGTAGGGCAAAGTGAACAGTGGGTGGGGCTGGTAGTGAATGAAGTGTTACGCCTAAATAAACACATTTACCAGAACTAGGTGCAGGGGTGACACATAATGGTGTGTGTGTGTCACTTTCAGTCTTGTGGACACAAAACAAGAATTTTCGCAAGAGGAAGTGGGAACATTTTGGGGGTTATTGTTCAAACGGGACTAAAAATAGGAACTAATTTGACACTTTTAATCAAAAGTAGAGATTCTCTAAAACAGACCACACACAGAAGACACCCTGTGAAGAGGAAAAAGATGAATCACTCATTCAAATTATTCAAAGTGTTTGACTGTAGTCCAGTAGTAGATGTGCTAGTAGAAATCCCTTCTTATTCCACTATAAGCACTCAAATGAACAGTGGAAAATGACTGCAATTCCACAACAATCACAAATTTCATTAACAGTCAGATTGTCCAAATACAGCGATATTGACTAACGGAAATTAATTTTTAAAGACTAGAATTGTTTTATGATACGTTGTAACTGGTCCCATTGTGACTAAAGTAAGATGTTACTAGCTAGCATTGGCGTGTGGCTAAATTCTGTGCTAGGCCGCTAGGATCTTAAGTTTATTTTGCTGTGAGGTCACTATTATTCTACTAGTATAGTTGGCTGTCTTAGCTTGCTGGTTTCATGCTATCCAATGATGAACTGCAACAATACTGAAGAAAATTTAAAGCTGTTACGGCGAATTTGCAAACAAGCTAGGTTTCTTCGGGTATCTTCCTTGAGACGCGTTTCTGCTGGAACCAGAAACCCACAATGCCAGAACAAACGAGGTAGCACTAACACCAGTCGCCATTTTTTAGGTCCAAACATCTTTTCTCTTCCGTGATTTCAACAGGCATTTTCTTTTTGGGACTCTGGTAGTTTGTCCTGAAGCTGGAGTGGGAGAAGCCAGCTTTTTCTCCTTTTCTAATATTATTGAGCCACGAACCTTTCGCACCAGCTGGTATTCTGTTGCTAAATACGCGGTTTGGCGAGACCGACAACTGAATAGTTCAAAGGTTGCTTTTTGGTTTGAAAGGTGTTATTTGCTGAGGTTTTTAGACAAATGCAAGAAAACTATTTTATTTATTTATTTTTACCTCCACAATATATTTATAGTTATACTCTGTGAGAACTTTGGCAAGAGGCATGAAAAAAATGTTTTAAGCTAGTTTGTTTTCCAAATTAGCTATAACAGCTTTAAGTTCAGTTAATAGGTTAGGGGTCACACAATTAAGTCCTGAAACTGAAGCCTATACAGGTGCCTATTGACAAGAATTTGGCGTTGTGATAAAGATCACAACACAGATAAAATATATCGCAATACTTAAATGGCAGACAAGATTTTGAAATTTATTGCGACTGAATTTATTTGGAAAACTCAGACTCCTCCAAGACACATCCAGTGTTGTTTAATCAGAATGAAGGGTGTAAAAATCTGCTGCCACCTAGCAGTTGGAGTTTGAACTGCATAACACAAAAGAAATTCAGTAAAGGGTTGCATGTAAACTGTCAATGAAACATTGATACACTGCTTCATTTAATTCAGTATCATACCATGAATTATTGCTACATCCCAGCGTATTGATATTTTCTTAAATCCTAGTTTTTACCATTAGCTACAGTATTTACCTCAGTTTCTCCGCTTTCCACATGTCAATGGGCTATGTACATCATGTAAGATTATAGTTCATAACCTTCAAAACCTCTAAACTATTCCTGTACAATAACAGCACCTGTGCCCACTTTTAACATGGCTTATTAAAGTCTTGACATTTGCTATAGAGTATGAAACTTTGTCGCTACAAGTGACGTAAACATCTTTTTTAATCTGAAGCTGCATTCTTGCTTACAGGCACCAGTTTCTCACTCATACCTAACCAGACCGCCAACACCAAAACCAAATCTCACCATGATAGCCCTATGGGGATTTCTGCAACTCTCTCTGTTGCCAAAAACACACGCAAACACACACACACAGACTCAAACTTATTATAAAACTGTGTTTGTTTCAAGTAAACCATTTGTAGTTAGAAGGTATAAATATGTACGTTTAAGGAAGAGGGTCAGCACAAGGATGATGCACACAGCACAGCACAACATGAGTCACAGGCTACAGGCTGAAACACCATAATCTCTGGTTGACATCAAACCTGGGGCTGACTTTTAAAAAAGACTAGATAATAAATAGGTGTGAGTTCTTGTAGGTTTGGTGTCGAGTGAATCATTCATTCGTATCACTTCCACTCATCTCTTGTGTTTTCAGGGCATTCCCGAGCATTTTGAGAAGTGAAGTGAGGGTGTTGAGTGATGAAGTTTATCAGCTGGTTTCTGAGGAATTGTTCACTTGAGTTTTCTGTTCTTTAAAGTTTGAGCTACACAGAAACCGACTGATAATCAGGAATATTTAACAGAAGTAAGATAAGCTTAGATTCAGACATCACTGGAACAGATTCTGTAAATATAAGTGTTTAGCATTACTACTTTCAACATTGACGTCATCAGCTTTGTTAGCCCATCTGGTAACAGGAAATGTGGCTTTTCCTATTTTTCCCTGAGTGTGTGTGTGTTGGGGGGGGGGGGGGGGGGGTTGTTGAGAAATAATGGAGAGATTCCCTGAACATTCCTCATTCATCCACTGTTGACGTTACCCTCTATTCTTATTAATGTGGTGTCTCACTATTCACAGCATGATCTGTGATGATTTACAGGAAACATGAGCCCTTTAGGATCAGAGGAGTGAGGTTTCACAATGACTTGCCAAAAGTGGGGCGAGCTGTGCCCAACAAGTCAGTGAACTCCAAAGAAAGAAATGATATCAGTTTCTGCAAAGAGGTTTTGTTTCCTTTTTGCAACATGGAGGGAAAACACGGCAGCCGCAGCCATAGCTAGTTCAAATAACAGCTGCTAGCTAACAAGGCCTTGACTTTGCACCGTGAAACACAGAAAGTTTTTAACAGTACCAAGTGTAACGTGAGCTTCATTTAAAGGGATATTCCACCTCTAAGTGAAAAGCTTTTTATAACGAGTCATTCTCCTAATCTGGCATCATGTTTGCTTTAGCTTAGCATGAGCAATGTAAGTGAATAGTAACAGCTAGCATTTTGTGTGAAAAAGTGTTGAAAATTACTCAGTAATTATCCAAATTTTTCTTTTTGACCTCAATATTCATGTTGACTGCTAATGAAAATAATAAGTAACACAAAGATGATTTAGACATGGGACATTACGACAAAGCACCGCTGTAAGCCGCTGCTGCAAAGTGCAAGGTCATGACTCAGCAGCCACAAAAACAGTTTGTAATTTTTAGTGCAACTTTGCTGTTCCTTCAAAAAAAGAAGAAAAAAAAGATCACTGTACCAGGTGGGTATAATCCTGGTAACTACACTAGGGCTATTCAATTCTGGGTTCCTAGGGCCGGTATCCAGCATGTTTTGGTTTTAGCTATGCTTCAACACAGCTGATTACAATTAGTAGGTGATTAACAGGCTGATGAGCTGCTGCACAGGAGATTCAACCACCAAACCAAGTGTGTTGGACCAGAGAAACCACCAAAACACGCTGGATACCGGTCCTCGAGGCCCGGAATTGAATAGGGAGCCTAAGTCTCTTGCCTTTCCCGTCGGCTCATGGATCCCCGGAAGAACGAAAGTATGAATGCAAGTCAACGGGACTAAGAATGCTATTTTCTGATCTGCTTTGCCTTACGCCCTGGATCAAACACATGTTGTACTGCAATTTAAATGAAAAGTAATGATGGGTGTTTCGACCACGCCAGTCACGTACTTTTGAGATTTATAAACTTGTAAATGTTCGTAATTAGCATGACTACACACCAGAAATCAGCACACATATGCGACATCACCACATAATATCCTCTCCCCTAATGTAGCTGCTACTTACAACACGAACAGATTTATGGTGGTTCTTTCCTCTTGTGGGAAATTCGCTGAACTTACAGCCCTTTTCCCTCCATTTTCTCCGTGTCTGGTTCGATGGCGTCACTTTCGTGAAGCGCAATTGTGGTTCTGGACTTATTTTCCACACAACCTAAAATAACATTTCCCCCTGGTCGAAAATAAGCGTGTTCTTGGTATCAAAATGTAGAAGGGGGATTTTAAAAGATCTGGCAACCCACAGATTGGGTGACGGGCAAGCCCCCACAATGTGGCTCAATAATTGAGGCCAACCTGGAAGTACCAAAAATTGCAGTTCCACCCTCATCCGCTGGGGGCTGGTGTCAGAAGCGAGCAAATCCTCATTGACTCCCATGTTAAAAATACCAGTTTCACAGCAGAAATAAACATGTTTACAGCCTGGTTCCAAAATATGTTTTTGGTTTAAATGATCTAGTTTACACTCATGACACCTCTGAGGGGGGTGAATTTTTTTCTCACTCTTCTGTTTAAGTGTATTAAAAGCCTAAAGTTCTGTATAATTAATGAGCATCAGACCCACGTGACCACAGAGCTAGTGTAAGCGGGTGATGGGTTGAGCGCATGTGCCGTTAACCTTGAACTGTCGGACTGGAGGGTGGAGTCACTAGACTCTCTGTGTAGACCTTCATTCGTTCGCAGGCTGCTGTGGTGTTAACAAGTGAAGCTTCCAAAAAAACGGAGACTTGTTCCCGTATTCCAAAGGTATTTTTCACCTATCTCTTCTTTGTCCTGAGACCATGAGCTCGAACCTCTACAGCTCGCCCGTTGCACTAGCTCCGTGGAAAGGCCTCAGTCTGGCTTGGAAACTGTTCCGCGATTTTGAGTCTCTGTGTTTGTATA